CACTTTGGTGGTTTGGTAGTCCAAACTGACTAACCCTTCTTCCAATCTTTCCTGGAAAGACAATCCTGTGGGAAAGTGCTAGCAGTGATTTAAGTCCATCTATACTCAGACCTCTGTCTCTTCTGTGCTCAGGATAGGGAGGGAAAAGTGCTGATTTTCTGAATAAAAATTGGGAAATAGAGAGGGATAAACTGGGGTCAACAGTGGGTTAAGACTGTTTTTGGTGTTCTCTTAATAATCATTCCTTACATTTGCTTTATATTTTGAGAGGCAGCTTGCTGAAATGGAAAGAGCCCTGGACTTGGAGTTAGGTTCAAATTCTGCTCCCACAACTTGCTACCTGTTTGTTTGATCCTCCATTTCTTCTTCTATAAAATGGGGATAATTATACTTGTACCACCTATGTCATTGGGCTTGTTGTGAGGATAAAATGAGATAGCTTAGGAATGGGCTGTGGAATAGAAAAAAAGTTCTGGAAATATGAGCTGTTTGATAGAATCCTTAGGTGCTCAGAAACAAACCTTAGATATTGTTAGATGTCGTCTCCTTGCTACAAATTAGAAAATGACAGCTAGAGAGATTGTGTTTTGTCTAAAGTCACAGTAAATTAGTGGTGGAATGAGGAATCTAACATATGCCTGCTCACTCCCAAATTTGGTGCTATTTCAAATGCACTACTGAAAAGGTTCCAGCATCCCCATTGTTGGCCATCAGCTGCTCATAGGATCATCCCAGGGAATGAGTCTACTCATGGCCAGGTCTAGTATCTGGGTGTAGTGTGAGGGAGTAGTCTAGAGGGCTGGGTACACATAGATTACTTAATAAACACTGTGTTAAAAAGTACGAGACATGAATTTGCAGCCCCAAAGTCTAGAATGGTGAATTCTCAAGGGGATATTCATGGATGGGTCCTTCTTTAACCTTTTTTTCTCCCCAATTTTTTTTCTGACTGTGCTTGTCTTGCAAAAGCTGAATTTAGCAGAATTGATACCCCCTGAGCATATTGGACAGAGCATCCCTGATTTTCAGAATGGGTTACAAAGTTGTATTCTGGGACCTTCAGGAAGGGATTTGGATTCTGGGGAGAGCACTGTTAATCTGATCGTCTAGGAAATAGGACACACTGGCCTTGCCCTGAGGGCTGTCTCCTAACCTGATATCTGGAAGGAAATGGGGCAGGGAGGGCATCTTTGGGTTTTCGTGAGAAGCCAGAACTCTGAGTCTCCAGTGTTGAAGGGGTTTGCATTATTTCTCTGTCCTTGGGAATCCTAACCAGGGTTCAGATTCTGCATCCAGTAGATAACATTTGGCCTTTGGCTTAGCCCCTTGCTGAAACCCTGTCTCAGTCTTTGCTCCCCAGTGCCATAAATGCTACCAGCCTAATTCTTGACTATATGGGGGTCTGTTTGTCTTGGCTGAGAAGTCACCTGAGCCTTAGGACTGCTCAAGGAGCTGGGAGCATCCTCTGTTGACCCATGATCTCTTGAAGAACCCTTCACAACTGCTACCTCAATTATCCAAACTCATTCGATCCCAGTTCCACCCTCCAGAATCCCCCAAACCCAAAGTGTTTCCCATGCTGCTCCTGTTCCTCCCCGAACCCCCAGGATCGAGAGTTTTAGCAGCCAAGCTCCACTTCCCACACCCGGTCGTCCACGCACCCCTAGGGACTTGCCGCAGCCTCGGAAGCAGAGCGGAGTCACAGGGCTGGAGTGTGGCCGGACGCCCCAGACTCCCAGGACTCGGCCAGAGAAAAGAGGCTGTTGCTATGGTGATCCTGTGGCATTGTGACGCCCCGAATTTCAGGGAGACCTTCTCACTTTCCCGACCCACCTCCGGGATAGAGAGGGGAGACCTGGATCCTGATATCGCTCCTTCCGTTGGGGTCAGAACGCCGGACGAGACTCTTGAGTCTTTGGTGACCAACGCCATCTTGGGACAGAAGAACGAGAAGTATAGAGAGGTAGCAGCTGACATGATTGAGAATGGAAAAGAGTGAGGTTCTCCCTGTGTTTTTGACGGTCTTCTTTCCCCTGCCATAGATACCCTTCGGTGACTTCGACCCAATTAATGACAGGTTTAAGGGGCTGAAACTGGGTCTGAGGGATCCTGGATGTGGTCTGGAGGATTAGCATTGGGGTATGGACTGAGGCTCTGTAGGTGTTGGGCTGCTAGGGAGATTCGTTCTTAATTAGGTCCGCAGGGCAACAAGATCGCACGCCCCCCCCCCCCATTAGATTGGTGGCTGAAGCAGAACAGAAGGTGTCGCTTTGCCCTGTAGTAAGAAGTACAAGATTTAAAGTTGAAGGGACTCAGATGTCATTTAGTCCAACCTTATTTTACAGGTGAGAAAACAGAGGTTCTGACTCTCATAAATCAGGCAAGTAAAGAAACAGAGCTGGGAATTCAAATATAATCTCTGATTTCGACTCTAGTGTTCCCCCCCACACACACACACACTACATACGTTGTTGCCCTTTGTATCTTCATTAAAACAATCTGCTTCAGAAGACAGATCCTCCTCAGGCCTCCTCTCCGTGGTTATCTAGGTCTGAAATTGATGCAAGGGTAGGCTGGGATGAGAAGATTGAAAGCCTTTTGAGAGCAGGAAAGCTGAGTCCCAGGTCTCTGTCTATGGTGGGAGTCCTTGGTAGTCAGTTGCCAAGGTTATAGAATCAGATCCAAATGTGATTAACGATTCCCAAGGCAACCCTGATCCTGGTACCGGTGTGTGGTACATAGTAAATGACGACCCCTTTCCCTGCTCAGTATTCTTCTCTACCTGGATGTAAGCTTAGGAATTTGGGGGTATTTCCTAAATGAAGAACTGAATTAATTTTACTGTTTGGGGAGAAAAAGAGCTAAAAAGGCAAGATAGGGATGTACAAACAATGCATTTCTGTGCAAACACAGTTGGGGACACTCTTGTATTTCATCGTACTTGCAATTTAGTCTCATGACTGGCAAGTTTGGTGCAACTCAAGGAATTTGAAGGAGTCAGGTTCTGGAGAGGATCAGACACTTCTTCTGGACACACCTTAGGGTCCAGATTGCTCAGGAATAGGGAGTGAAAGAATTTCTCCTGGAAAAGGGGGTGGTTTGTGGGACGGAATACAAAGAAGGGAGAAAGACTTGACTGAGGGATAAATCAGAACAGAACTCTTCGAATCGGTGGATGGTGATGCCACTAAGGACCACCAGGTGGTGGTAGAGTGTGTGAGGCTCTCCTTACCCCATTCATTTTGATCTCTAACTGGTGGCTGGATGGCCAAAGGTGCCCCTGATAACTAGCCTGCCCGTTTTTTCTGTACTGAACAGAGGAGGTGTGGCAGAAATTGGGTTTGTGACCCAGTTTCACTCGGGAGGGAGAGGACTCTGTTCCTGTGATTTATGGCTTATAGTGACCTTAGAGTCTGATCTAACTCCCTCATTTTACAGAAGAGAAAAAAGTGTCAAAAGATACTTGCCCAAGGTCAAACAGCAGAACCAAGATTCAAATCCAGGTCCTTTGATCTTAATTTGAATTCCATTGCTCTTTCTGTTCTACTTCACTATCTCCAATTCATGTTGTTGAGTTGTCTTTCAGTCTTGTCTGACTCTTTGTGACCTCATTTGGGGTTTTCTTGACAAAGACACTGGAGTGGTTTGCCATTTCCTTCTCCAGCTCATTTTACAGATGAGGAAAACTGAGGCAAACAGGGTTAAATGACTTGCTGAGGGACACAGAGCTAGTAAGATTTGAACTCGGAAACACAAGTCTTCCTGATTCCAGGCCCAGCACTTTTATCCACTGTGCCACCTAGCTGCCCCTCCAGTTCATACTCAACTACAAATGGCAATCTGCACTATTATACCCTCTAGAACAAATTGATAGCCTACTCTGTTTGAACATCTCTAGTGATCAGAGCTGACATCTTAGTTAACATGTTTACTCATTAGTACAATTGACTGTTTTTCAGGCTAGCTGAGTAACAGAGCAGGGTCTTGAGGGAATAGGCTCTAAATATGATAGGTACATTTTGAAGTTGGGCTCCAAACTGAGGGCCCTGGACAGCTAAGGTTGCTATTACAATGATGGGAGGACACTTAGGGGGAATGGGGAATTCGCCAAAGATAGGGAAAATTTCATCCCCTCCACATTTTAATTTATATCTAGCCATGGTGGAAATAACAGCTCTGGGAAGTAGCCATGGTAACTGGGAGAGTAACTTGTTGGTTGTGCCAGAACATCCCGTACTCTGTTATTGTTTTCACACTACGACAGAAGAGCGAAAGCTAGTCATGGAAAACTTCAGAGGAGTGAGATTTTGCAGGCTTTTCATCCATTGTTCCACACTCAGATTACAAAAATCTAGTGGGCTCATATTATTGTCCTCAGTTCTGTTCTATTCAACATCTTCATGGATTGGAGTAGAGGTGGGAACTAAACCCTTGATTTCATTGATATGGGTAACTTTCAGGTATGGAAATTTCCACTACTAATGCAGGTTGGCACTTCTTTATAGTTTATAGCCTTAGTTTACCTAGAGAGCACTGAGAATTTAAGTGATTTTCCTAGGGTCACATAGCTAATATCCAAACGTTTTAAATAAGTTACTACAAAGTATACACAAAGTAAAAAGAAGTGTTGCCTATCTATATCTGTCTATCTGTCTGTCTGTCTGTCTTTACACACACACACACACACGCACATATTTATCTTATAGATTTATTTAAGGTAACTAATTTAATTGAGTATTTCTATGCTACCATAAACAAAATGTAAGCGATGAGCATTTCTAAAGGTAGCAGGGTATGGGAAATTCTGGGACTGTGGAAAGAGCATAGACTCTGGAGTCAATGAACCTATCTCTGATGCTGGCTTCCCTTGTGACCTTGGCAAATCACTGAACTTCCTAGGGCCCTAACTTCCTTATCTGCAAATGAGGAGGTTGGACTAGATGTCTTTTAGGGCCTCTTCCCACTTTAAATCTGATTCTATAAACTCAGTTAAACTCCAGCCTAGTTTAGTTCTTTTTTAAAAAAATCAACATGAATTTTATTTTATTTTCAAACAAAGACCAACCTTCTCTCTTTCCTAGTTAGCCTGCCCCCACCCTACCACTGATAAAGCAAGATAAACAAAAACCCTGTTACAAACATGTCTAGTCAAGCAAAGTACAATTTCTCATTGGTTGTATCTTAAAAAAAAGTCTCAATCTACACTCTGAATTCATCACGTCTCTTGTCAGGAGGTGGGCAGCATGTTTCATCATGAACCCTCTGAAATTATGATTGGGTATTGTGTTGATCAGAGTTCTCAAGATTTCATAGATATATGTGTGTATGTATATACATGTGCACATATACAATAAATGTTTCGTTTTAATCTACCAAAATCTACTTTTTCACCCTCCTGCTCCAACCCCCTCCCTGCCCCTACTCCCATTAAAAAGACAAGAAAAACAAAAAACCATTACAAACATGTATAGTCAATCATACCAAATTTCCCCATTGTCCATGTTCTAAAACACACATGTATATATGTGTGTATGTATATACATTCATGTGTACATACACATACATATATGTCTCATTCTGCATTCCTCCGGAATCCTGCTCATTACATCACCATCTTAATGTCATTGGTCCTAGGAGAATGAAGAACGAACAACAAAATCGCATTGAGAAGAGTTCAGGGCAATAGTATTCTATCACATCTGTAGGTCAAAACTTGTTTAACCACTCCCTGATTTATGGGCACCTCCTCAGGTTTTCATTCTTTGCTACCTCAAAAAGAGCTATGAATAGTTTTGTACATCCTTAAAATTTGTTTTGCTTAGGACTAATCTCTACCTTTATCTATCCTTTGTCTAATTCCCCCTCTTTGCTTCCCCTCTTTCCCTCCAATTTCTCTGTTGTCTGAAATGCATTTCTGTACCCAGGCGTATGAGGTAATTTTCCTTAGCCTTCTTTTCCCTTCTCCTCCTTCAGTATATTCCTCTTCCCAGCACTTTTTATTCTTTTCTTAAGACGATGAAGACATAACAAATCACTCCCAGACCTTGTCTAATTGGAATCCCTCTATGAACCCTGATGATGATAGGGATCAGAGGGGACATCTATATCATCTCCCCATATTGAAATGTAAGCATTTATCCTTGTTAATCCTTTATCATTGTTCATTGATGTTTACCTTTTAATTTCTCTTCATTCTTGGGTTTAACTTTCAAAATTTCTTGGCAGTTCTGTTCTTTCCATCAGGAATGCTTCAAAGTTCTCTATTCCATTAAAGATCCATTTTCCCTTGTAGTATTATACTCAGTTTTCAGGTAAGTTATTCTTGACAATTTATTATAAGTCCATTTCCTTTGCCTTCTGGAATGTCATGTTTTCCATGTTCTCCACTCCTTTTGGCTTCTAAATTGTGTATGATCCTGACTGTGGCTCCTTGGTACTTGAATTCTTTCTTATTGGCTACTCGGAATATTTTTTCTTTGACCTGAGAGCTCTGGATTTTGTTCCTGGAAGTTTTCTTTTTTGGGTTTCTTTCAGATGTCCAGTAGATTCTTTCTATTTCCATTTTGCCTTTTGGTTCTAAGAGATATGGACGGTTTTCTTTAAAGATTTCTTGAAATGTGATGTCTATGTTCTTTTTTTGGTTGTGATGTTCTGATAGTCCAGTGATTCTTAAAGTTTTTCTTCTTGATCTGTTTTCCTGGAAGAGATGAAGCAAGAGTTTAAAAAAGAGTTTGAGGATTTTTTTTAAAACTCTTGCTTCATCTCTTCCAGGAATTCTAGTCGAGTTTGTGTCCTAGCTCTGAGACATTGTTTGTAGATGGTTGGGAGTCATTCTCTTCTTTTGAGTTTGGGTCTTAACTGTCCTTATCACCATAACAGTTAATTATGGTGGAATTATTATTGTTTGCCCATTCTTCCGGTCTAATTCCTAACTTTGGATTTGATGTTAGACTGAACTCTGTGGCACTTCTGGAGGGAAGAGCTGGATTGGTCCTGTTGCTGTGTTTTATTTTTTGGGGGGGAGGCGGGGGTGTATTACATGTTGTTTTGTTCCAGAGTCTCAGGAAACATTCAGCTGTTCTTAAAATGGTCTGATCCAGAGAAAAGGCCGATTGCTGCTTCCCTGGTCTGACCTCTGCAAGTTCCTAATCTGGGTCTGGATCCAAGCAAGAGTAGACTGCTGCTGGACTATGCCCCCTGTCAGCCAGCTGAGAAGCTTTGTTGGCTCAGAGGAGCAGAATTATAGATTCTTCTTTTTGTCTGGTATTTCCACTCTTATTATTAAATGGGCTAGATGCTCATAGTGAGACCTTGATTTGCACCTCAGGTCTGAGCCACACTACTCCTGCTGCTAGCTCCTGAACTTGCTCCTTTGCCCACAGCCTCCATCACTGGAAACACCACTGTAATGCTCAGGTCCCCTTCTCTCTCCACCCTTCATCTGTGACCTGAGAGTAGAGAGTAGGGTGACAAAGCTGTCAGTTCACAGATGTCCCATCTCAGTTGCCCAGTGTAGGTCTGGGAGTATCCCAGTTTGGGTCTGGGACTTCTTTTCCCCGTGCACAGGTTCTCCCCATGTGCTGCATGCTCCTCACCTAACCTGTTCCCATTTTCCACAGATCTTCCTGTCTCTCTCCCTATGCTGAACAGAGCTGGGCTGGACAGATAGCTGGCTCACTGTGACTTTTTCTGGATTTCTCCATCAGGGTTCAATCTGGCACATTTTCTAGATCTCTTTGGAGAAGTTTGTGGAGGGGAGCTTGGTGCTGTACTGCTTCCTTTCATTCTACCATGTTGGTTCAGCCCTTAGTTTAGTTCTTGTTTAATTATGTTAGCTTTTAAAAAATGAAGCACTCTGTAGAAATAGCTGGTGCATCGGCTGTCTAATCTCACTGGACAAGGAGAGATTAAGCAATTCTTGGAAATGGCTCAAACCACGGGTGATAGGAAAGATACCAATCTTTCAGAATTCACAATGTAAGTGAAAATTCTGACAAAAAAAAATTTGTTGAGATATTAGTGGCATTTAGGCCTCAGTTCTAGAATTCTCTAGAGTAGTGTCTTTCCATGGAATTCCAGCACTTGCTATCTTCAAACAGAAAATAGTTTCATGAAAGGGAAAAATACTTAGATCATCATGCTAGGGTATCCAAAACTATCCCCTTATCTTTTTCTCTCAGAGACAGAAGGAGTTTTTCTCTTGGAAAGAAAGGAGTTCCATTTACTTTCATTTAAAAAAATACATCTTTTGTTTTTATATCACATACATATTTAGTGGTGAGGCAATTGGGGTTAAGTGACTTGCCCAGAGTCACTTAGTGAGTATTATGTGTCTGAGACCATATTTGAACTCGGGTCCTCCTGACTCCAGGACCGGTGCTCTTATCCACTGCGCCACCTAGCTGCCTCCATCACCTGTGTTTCTTCTGATATCCTTTCCTTTCTCCCCTCGCAGAGAGATACTTTATTTTGAAAAATAAAAAAGGAAAAGAGGAAGAATTGAAAAAAAATCAGCAAAACCAATCAATACATCAACAAAGTCAGAAAATATATGCAAATTTCCACACTCACGGTCTTCGCACTTCTGCAAAGGATTGGGGGAGAGGGAAGGTGTTTTCTATTTCTTCTTTGGAGTTATACTGGCTCATTGTAATTCTCCAGTATCCACTTTCCCTTTTTTTTTGTGGTGATGGTCCTTTTGATTTATATAGTTCCTATCCATATGTATATTGTTTTCTTTGCTCTGCTTACCTCACTCTGCAAAAGTTTGTGCAAGTCTTTCTGTGCTTCTCTGTATTCATAGCTTCTTACAGGATAGTAAGAGTTCATTAAATCCATGTCAAGTCAGGTCAACAAATATTTATTAGGCACCTGCTATGTGCCAGGCATTGTACCAAATGCTGAGGGTAGAAAGGATAGGTGAAAAAAAACCCCAAAACAAAACACTAGACCTTGCTGTCAAGGACCTCATAGTTTAATGTGAGAGTCAACATACAAACCACTACGTACAAAAAAGGATATGTACAGGATAAACTGAAGGAAATCTGAGAAGGCACTGAAGGTGAGGAGGACTAGGAAAGTCTCCTTGCAGAAGGTGGAATTTTAGCTGAGACTTAAAGGAAGTCAGGGAAGCCAAGAGATGAAGATGAGGAGGGAAAGAATCCCAAACATGGAAGACAGTGAAAATGCACATAGTGAGGAGAATAGTGTTCAATGCAAGTAAAAGCAAGGAAGCCAGTGTCACTGTGCTGTGGAGTGTGTGTGGCTAGGGAAAAGTGGAGTATGGTGTAAGAAGAATGGAAAATCAGGGAGGAATTAGGTTATGAAGGGCTTTAAGAGCCAAGCAGAGGATTTAATATTGATCCTGGATTCGATCTATCCTCTGGAGTTTATCAAGTAGAAGGGTAACATGAAGGAGGAAGAACTGGAGTGAGGAGAGACTTGAGGCAGGGAGACCAATCAGAAGGCAATTGCAATAGTCCAGGCATGAGGAAATGAGGCTCTGTACCAAAGTGTTGCCAGTGTAAGAGGAAAGAAGTGGGTATAAATGAAAGATATTGAGAAGATAGAATCCGCAGGTGATGAATAAGTTGGGATGGAGAAACTGAAGAGTTGGAGATGTCAAGGTTTCCAGTCTAGGTGAGTGGGAGGATGATGGTGCCTTCAGCAGTAATAGAAAATTTAGGAAGAGGGGAAGGTTTTGGGGGAGGGAATATTAATGTTTTGGACATGTTCAGTTTAAGATGTTTATGAGACATACAATTTAAGATATATAAGAGACAGTGGGAGATATGAGCCTGAAGATTAGAAGAATGGTTAGGGCTGAGTAAAAAGACCTGAGAATTATCTGCATAGAGATGATAATTTAATCCATGAGATCTGATGAGATATATCCCCAAGCAAAATAGTATAAAGGAAGAAAAGAGGGCCAAGAAAACAAATCCTTAGGGGACACCCATGGTTAGTGAGCTGGGATGAAGATCTAGCAAGGAGGACTGAGAAGGAGTGGTCAGACATGTAAGAGAAACAGAAGAGAGTAATGTGAAGAAAACTTAGAAGAGAGCATCAAGGTGAAGATATTGATTGATAGTGCCGAAGGTTGTATAGAGGTCAAGAAGGAGGAAGAATGAGGAAAGATTTTTAAATTTGGCAATTAAGAAATCATTGGCAATTTTAGAGACTCCAATTTCAGGTGAATGATGAGGTCGGCAGTCAGAATGCAGGGGTAGAAAGAGAATGAGAGGAAAACAAGATTGTAGATGATTGTAGATGGAGTTTAAGCCACAAGGAGTTTAGCCACAAAAGGGAGGAGACACATAGGACAGTAACTATTGGTTAAATCAAGTGGATAAATTGGATAAATTAAGTGACAGTTTCTTGAGGATGCAGGAGATGTGGATGTGTTTGTAGGCATCAGGGAAGCAGACAGTAGACGGAGAGATTGAAGATTAGCTTCTCCCAAGAAGAGAAGGGCCACTTCTTTATGTGAGTAAATGAAGAGACAGTCAGGGTAAGCATCTGAGTAATGTTACATGAGTTCTGGTGAATTACCTTTATTTTTTCAGTTAAACATGAAGCAGTATTCTCATTTGGGGGAGAAGGGGACAGCCATATGTAGTTTGAAGAGGGGAGCCATGGGAGGCTTAAGGAGAGATGAAAAGTTTTGGGAAAGCTGCTGTGTTTACATGCGTGAGGGATCCTTTAGGAAGATGTAAATGGATTGCCTTGCCACAGTGAGGGCCCAGCTGAGATTATATAACAGAAATTTGTAGTGGAACCAGTCAGCATGCTTTCATAATTTTTATGAGCCATAATTTGTTTAGCCATTCCCTAATCAATGGATACTCTCCAGTTTTTTGCTACTTTAAAAAATATAGCTATAAATATTTTGATGTATGCAGAGCCTTTATTCTTATCAATAGTTATATTTTCTTTTACCACCATTTTCCCTTCTTTTCTTATTCCTGTCTACCCCCCCTTATCCCCACAAACTGCCCACCATGTTCCTGCTGGCCTTTTCTCTGTTTTCCTGCTAGACTTCCCCTCTTTGATCTCTGGTGAATTTCACTTTTTGACTTCCCTCTAATAATCTCCAGTTAGGCTTGTATCACCTTTCTTCAGGACTATTGCAATTATCTGGCAATTGGTCTCCCTGCTTTCAGTCTCTCCCTCTCTAATGTATCCTTCACATGGCTGACAAAATTATATTCCTAAAACATAGCCCTCTGACTACATATGTACACAAGCTGGCTTCTCCCAATCTCTTCAGTCTTATTTGATATACACCCCTTCATGTACTACCCGTTACAGTCAAATTGGCCCCCTCCTTGTGTACAATATATCATCTCCAGTCTCCATGCTTTTGTGCTAGAATGCAGTCCCTCCTCATATTTGCTGTTTATATTCTTCAAGGGACTTTTTGGTATTTATTTCTGTATTCTCATTGCCTAGCATAGTGCCCTGCACTTAGTTGGTTCCATG